ATAGAATCATAGAGTGGGAAGGGACCTCCAGGGCCATCTAATCCAACCCCCTGCACAATGCCGGGAATTCATGAATACCTCCCCCTCCACACACACCCAGTGACCGCTGTTCCACGCCCAGAAGATGACCAAAAAAAAAATCCCCTCCAGGATCTCCATCCAAACTGGCCTGGAGGAAAATTGCTTCCTGACCCCAAAGTAAAAGGTAACGGTAAAGGTTCCCTTGCTCGAAAGCCAGTCGAATCCGACTCTAGGGTTGCGGTGCTCATCTCCGTTTCAAAGCCGAAGAGCCAGCGCTGTCTGAAGACGTTTCTGTGGTCATGTGGCCGGCATGTCTAAACACCAAGGCACACGGAACGCTGTTACCTTCCCACCGAAGTGGTACCTATTTATCTACTTGCAATTTCTTGCTTTTGAACTGCTAGGTTGGCAGGAGCTGGAACTAGAGACAGGAGCTCACACTGTCATGCGGCACAATCGGGTCTCAAACTGCTGAACTACTTCCACAGCCTGCAGTTCAGCGTCTTAACCACTTGAGCCACCGCAGCTCCAAAGTGGTGATCAGCATTTCCCTGGGTGTGTAAGAATAGCCCTGACTAGCCTGATCTCATCAGAGCTTGGAAGCTAAGAGAGGTCGGCCCTGTTCTGTATTTGGACTGGAGACCTCTGAGGAAGTCCAGGGTTGCCACGCAGAGGCAGGCAATGGCAAACCGCCTCTATTCATCTCTTGCCTTGGAAATCCCATGAGGGGCTGCTGTAAATTGGTTGCAACTTGACAGCACTTAGTTATTAAGAATAGAAAAAGACCCCGAAGGAAAAAACCCACCCACCCACCGGCTGGTGGACACAAAGCCCTTCTGTGCCCTCTCTCTCCCCTCTTCAGCCACCAGACTGGAAGCACAGACTTTGGGGCGTCTTGAAAGGTTGCTTCTTCTCCCTACCTTTGTTTGGAAACTTCAGGTCATTCCGAGCCAGGCAGCCAAGACTGCTAAATTAACCGAGAACATTTCCTGCCAATTTAAAAAGAATACCTTTGTTTGCCCATCTATTTCTGGACACAAGATATAGTGAGGTGGCTGGATCCCACAGAGAAAGAGTTCCTGACTCAAAACCCTTGTACCTATGAATTTTATTAACCTATCAAATGCAATTGAATGCAAATTCACTTGCCTGTCTGTCCCAAAAGAAAATGTACACCAAAAGAAAATGTAGCTCCAGATCTCTATAAATCCAACAGGGGGGGAAATCCACTCCAAGTGCACTAAATATGCATTTATTTCATGGCTTTTCAAGAAAACTGCTTCATAAATCCTACGTTCTTCCCTTCTTTGAATTTCCTGAATAACTTATTGCTATTCAAGCAACCCCTTTTCCCATTTATGGGGTGGGGGGGAGAAAGAGCATAAGCAAATGCAACTTTTCCCACAGAAGAAAACTCTAAAGTGGAGAGAAAAAAACTGTCGCAGTGTGGTCCTAAGCATATTTGGAAGTTGAGCCCTTTTCTGTTCAAAAGGCACTTCATTCATAGCAAAAGTCTGTAAGTCTGATGCTTGAAAAGCCGGACAAGTGGCTGGCATCAGCCTCTCTGAATTAATGGAGGAGTGATTGACAGACCACATCCTCAGTATTTAGGTGGAACAGGTGAGTTTCTTTGATTTTATGCTAATTGTGTTAATTTTGAGCATACAGGATATGGCCTAAGGACAAACTGCAATGCAGTGCTAGAGGATAAATCTCAACCCATTCTTAGTGACCAGCTTTAACCACTGCTAAAAAAACAATCAGGGCCTTATGAGGAGAAGGAGCATTTGCCGCACTAAAGAGACGGATGATAGGCGGATTTTCCGGGCGCGATCACACCGCAACATCTGGGAAGCGTAGTGCTCCCGTGGCTAACCCGTGGCTTCCCGTCGAAGATGCGGCTTAAAAAACTAGTACCTACAAGGTACTAGTTTCCAAACAACGCGGGGCAAGGGCGGGCGTCTGATCGTGTCCCGTCCTAGTCCCGTCGCAAACCGGTTTTTTTTCCAGTCTGCACAGGATGTGCACAAACGATCATGTGCATGCACACCTTTGGGTGAAAAAAAAATATTCCCGATTGCCACAGAAGCGGCGCCTAGTGATTGCTGGTGTGATCGCGCCACGCCGCTTCTTTGCCGTGCTGCAGGATAGTCGTGTGATCGGCACCTCCCCCCTAACCACGGGACCTCGATGGGACGTCTGATCGGGCAGCCATGTGTTATCTTGCTCCGGGGCAAACAGCCATACTTCCCCCCCCCCGCATTTTCCGGCCGGTGTGACCGGGGACAATGATAACGATTTTAAAAGTATGGCACGGAGAACAGGCCATATAAAAAGGCCTAATGTGATTGCTGCAATTGACAGCCTAATGGAGAGATGCTGATTCTGTGGGTCATGATTAAAAAACTGCCCAGATCTAGATGACCACATCCACAAGTAGAAGCAGGGGGCTGTTTATGGATCTACACATGCAAACAGCTGTTGGGGTGCAGGAGATACAAAGATACACAGGCAGGACCTTGGGAATGCACACGGTGCTTCTGTCCCACCTGGGCCACACTAAACCAACCATCACTGCTATCAGCTCTGCTAATGATCGAGGATGATCGGGGGCCCATAGGAGACCAAGCCCTAGGAGGAAAGGCTGAGGGACTTGGAAATGTTTAGTCTGGAGAAGAGGAGGCCGAGGGGGGGACATCACTGCTCTCTTGAAGTATCTGAAGGGCTGTCACTCGGAGGAGGGCAGGGAGCTGTTCCTGTGGGCAGCAGAGAAGAGGACTCGCAATCAATGTTCCCTCTAAGCTGTGGAGTCTCGTGAGCAAAAATTCTACTTTGTGAGCTACGGGCATTAAAGTTGTGAGCGAGCAATTTGGCTCCTGCATCAATTAGTTGGCTATGGAGCCATCCTTCCTGAGCTAAGACAAAAATCTGTGAGCTGGAGGCTAAAAAATTGTGAGCTAGCTCACACTAACTCAGCTTAGCGGGAACACTGCTCGCAATCATGGATTTCAATTAAGGGAAGGAAGGTACCGGGTGGATATAAGGAAAAACTTTTTTAGAGTCAGATTTGGAATCAGCTGCCTAGGGAGGTGGTGAGCTCCCCCTCACTGGCGGTCTTTAAGCAGCGGATGGATGAACACTTGTCATGGATGCTCCAGGCTGATCCTGCATTGAGCAGGGGGTTGGACTAGCAAGGGGTATGGCCCCTTCCAACTCTGTTATTCTATTATTCTAATGAGGAATGGGAGGGGCAGAATGGCTGGCAAACTCAGCCTGGGCACCCCTTCCTCTTCTCCCTCCTACACTCCCAACAGATCAGCAGTGTCTGAGTCAGTGATGGAAGGGGGGGAGGCGTAACCCACAGCCTTCTGCTTGGTCCTCCTGAATATCTCTTGCACTCAAAGATCACTGGAATGTGAGAAAGCTGCCAGTACAAAGGCTCCAGTCCACACCTACAAGCTCATGGCATTTGGGGCACAAGACTGCAACCCCCTTTAGCTCCAGTCAGTTGTTTGGTGAGATGGAAAAGCAGACGGGCTGTTCCAAGCTCTGATCAGCAGAACATTTTCATTGGTGCTGCAGCTGAGTGGCAATTGGGAATTAGGTAAACTGCAGCAAGTATGTGCGCAGTTCTCCATCTAGCTAGGGATCCTGCCAAAGATGCTTGCTTGGGGGTGTCTACCATCCTCAGCTGGATTGAAGACACCAATGTTTATTATGCCCTATTTATATTCTGAGCGACAACAGGCATTTGGAGTGCATACAGTCAGGTTCTGAGGACTTTCCTTGTATTAGCAGGTCAGATCTTCAAGAAAACTGATTTAAATAAACTCAAGGAATGTTATTATTGTCACTTTATTTATAGCCCATTTTTCTTTCTGAGACTCAAGACAGATTACAGGATACTTGAATTGCAGGCTGTGGTTGCAGACTTCCCTTTGGCATCTGAGTGGCTGCTGTTGGAAACAGGATGCGGGACAGGAAGGGCCACTGGTCTCATCCAGCACGGCTACTCTTATGCCCATCTGTTCTTCTATCTGTGCAGTATACAGATTTTGATAAAAATCCACATTGTACACCTGCGGAACTCTCTACCACTAGAAGCCATACAGTCCAACATCACATCTGAAGGAGACAGTTTAAGGACGACAGACCTATCAAGAGCTCAGAACATCCTTTAATTCAGTAGTAGCACGAAGCTGCTTTCATAGCATTGCTACTTGACATTATCATCGTAATTGGGTGTTGCTTATACTGGCCTGCCAAGTGTTATGCATTTAAATTTATTGCATGTTATGTATAACCTGCTTAACCTGTTAACTCTGCAAGGCAGGACACGTTGATCAATTTCATATTACAATATAATTTCTAGTCCTCATGAGGGCAGTGCCTAGAAGAACGTACAAAACCAGAGGCAGTTGTGTAGGGCTTAGCGGTGAAGAGAAGAAGAGGAGATTGGATTTATACCCCGCCCTTCACTACCCCAAAGGAGTCTCAGAGCAGTTTACAATCCCTTCCCCTTCCCCTCCCCACAACAGACACCCTGTGTGAGGTAAAGTGGGGCTCAGAGAGCTCTTTGGAGGACTGTTCGTGAGAGAACAGCTTTAAGAGAACTTGTGACTGACCCAAGGTCACACCAACAGATGCATGTGGAGGAGTGGGGAATCAAACCTGGTTCTCCCCGATTAGAGTCCGGGCTTCTAACCACTACACCATGCCCGAGGACCACCTGAGGATCCAGCAGCTCGCTCCCGCTCACTTCACAGGACTCAGCCTCTCTCCCTACTGATCATCCAATCCCATCCAGAGTATTTTATTTGCCTGCATTTCTCCTCTCTCCCCTTTCTCTCCAACCATCCGTCAACCAGATTCATGCCCCCCCCCTTCCCCCAAAATTCCTGTAATCCTTGAAAATGGAAACAGAAGAACTTACTCAAAATAAGCCATTAATTTATTTGGAGCACAATTTGTTGTGTGTGTGTTTTTTTAAGTTAGTCGTGTTTTTACTAAAAAGAATGATTAGACTCTTCCTCCCCCCTCAGCTGCCATGCCAATTAGTCATTCCTCCGACAGCTCAAAGTCCAGATTTTCTGGGAACGTAACTTAATGCAGATTATTCCGTTTAAGGATCTCAGCCTGACTATGCAGCGGTGAAATCCCAGACTTTGGCATGAGCACAGATTCCCCGACAGGTCTCTCTCTCTCCGGTTCCCAGCACAGCCTCATGTCCATTCGCTCTTGTTTGTGGATATCTTCAAAGTCATTCTCACACCTCCAAGGGCTCTCTCTGCCTCACAAGGCTGACAGTTCAGTGGCCAGCATTTCCCCTGCCCCACTTTCTTCTTTGTTATGCTGCGCAGGTGAGACGGCGGCGGCATCCAGGTGGTTCTCTTCAATTTTCATGGCGAGGTTGTCAAACCCAGTACTGGCGGTGAGGGGCAAGCTGGTCGAGTTGGCCTCTGCCGTGCGCGTTGGTGTGGAGCAATAAAGGATGAATCCCACCATGATGACCACAAAGGACAGGAGATACAGCACTGAAAACTGACAAATGCAAAAACAGAGTTTAAGAACATTAATAATTACGTGCCGTCGAGTTGCAACAGACTCACAGCAGCCTCTTGAAGCGCCACCTCGTGGGGCCTGAAGGCAAGAGACGAGGCAGAGGTGGCTTGCCATCGCTTGCCTCTCCACAGCAACCCTTGTCTTCCTCAGCGGTCTCCCACCCAAGTGCTGACCATGGCTGACCCTGCTTCTAAGCTCTGAAAAGCTCCCGTTCATCTGGGATACTCAGGCTGCTTGAAGAACTTTACCCGTTTGTCAAGACACACAAAAGCATCACCTTCTGCTTTGCAGCCATAATATTTTGCTAAGAGCCAAGCCACGTGTCAGGAGCCACTGTGAGCAGGTCTGCTCAGAAGTAAGTCCTGCATTACTCCCTGGAAAGCATCCCTAGGACCGCAGCCATGCTGTGGGAAATCCATGATCAACAGTGCAAACCCGTGCCGTTACTCCCACTCTGAGTTTATTGACTGGACTGGAGAAACTCCACCTGGCCTCCACCGTTTATTGAAATCAGTGCGCTTGGACTGGAGAAACTCCACCTGGCCTCCACCTTTGGTTTTAAGGCTTCAGATCAACCAGAGAGGACTGCAGATGGGATTGGAGGGACAGTGCAAGGGGGAGTAACCACTTAACTCGACTCCTACCTCTTTCACCCTGTGCGGCTACTAACTGCTTTGAGAAAGGGTGCGTGTGCGGGGCGGGGAGATGCTGTATCACAGAAATGTCATGGGGAAAACGACTTTTAAAAAAACCATTTCCTCTTGACTCCACAGTCCCAGTCCCAGTCCCAAGAGCCAGTTTGGTGCAGACTCTAATCTGCTCTAATCTGGGAGATCGCTGTGAGTCAATCATGACTTGACAGCTCACACAGATCCGTGGACACATGAAGCTTGCTTTACACTGAGCCGAAGTCAGTATTGTCAACTCAGACTGGCAGTGGCTCTCCAGGGTCCCTGGCGGAGGTCTTTCGTATCACCTACTGACTGATCCTGAACTGGAGATGCCAAGGATTGAACCTGGGACCTTCTGCATGTCAAGCAGATACGCTACCACTGAGCCAACTCCCCTTCCAAGTGCAGCATACAATTTAAGACAAGAGTAGGTAGTGCCTGAAAGCAGGAGGCATTATCTGAAGAAGAAGAAGAAGAGATTGGATTTATACCCTGCCCCTCACTACCCGAAGGAGTCTCAGAGCAGCTTACAAACTCCTTTTCCTTCCCCTCCCCATAACAGACACCCTGTGAGGCAGATGGGGCTGAGAGAGCTCTTTCAAGAATTGCTCCTGAGAGAACAGCTCTGAAAGAACTTGTAAATGACCCAAGGTCACACCAGCAGCTGCATGTGGAGGCCTCTTACAAACCCTCAGTTTCCCCTCAATCATTCTGATCTCTCTAGCGCGTTTTTAACCTGCCCTTCCTCCAAGGAGCTCAATGTGACATGCACAGCTCTCCTTTTATCTCTACAACGTGCCTGTGAGGTAGACTGAGCTGAGAGAAAATGGCTGGTCCAAGGTCACTCTGCCAGCTTCCATGGGAAGGTGGGGATCTGAACACAGCTCTTTTGGACCCTAGTCCAGTCTCACCAGTATACCACGCTGGTTCTCACCTTTTACTCTGGCTAGTGTGTTCTGCTGCAGCTACTTGTACAGAATTACTGTTTATGATTAACATAGATGTGTTACTTATTCCTGACCTGGTTAAATTTAATGGACAGAGGGATGAAGATTTCCAGCCGTTTCCCAAATGCCAAATCCCACTGCTCACCTCTGCTGCCCTAATTAGTCAACCTTGCTCCCCATCTGCCTGCCGAACAGGGATAGGCCGTAGCTCAATGCGGCGCATCTGCTACGCATGCAGAAAGCCCCAAGGCTCACCCTTGGCGTCTCCTGTTCCA